AGGTTGCTTAGAGCTCTCAGCAACCTGTGATGCTCTGTGTGGCTTCCTGCCCAGCTCACTGATATCACCGGTTGCCAGGAGCTCAGCGGGACGCTGCAAATACCTTAGAGACAGCCCTGCTTGGTGACAACACGACCACCTCCCCTCTGAATTCACAGCCTGCGTTCTACCTATCCATCTACAGAACAATGCGTAGGGGACAAGTCCGTCTTAATCTGAAATACAAGGACCTGCCAGACACTTCAAGGATTCACTGCAAAGTCCAACATGTCAGCTGAATTGGATTGCAGCTTTCAAATATTCACAATATAAAATATTTATAAAACAATACAAGATATTTCGAGCTTTCTATGTACACACACACACACACACATTTACACATATATATATACTCGTATTAAATAGCCACTTGCGTTATGTTGTCGATGAATACTTCGAGTGATTCTCTCTCTGTATATACTTCTATATATTCCATCGCAGGTACCTTGAAGGACGAGGGATTGCGCTGCTGTAATGGAAGGGTTCTATGTACAACAATATTGCATATAACATATTACTATAGATTAGCTCAGCGCCTGCAGGGGGGGATCAGGGGGTTGTACCCCGCTATTCATAGAATAACCTTGAGCTGCCGTATCACAAAATGGAGCCACAAATGTCCAACCTCAATCCGCTAGGACAGCCTTAAAGCTGAACACCGGGCAGATATAAAAGACAAATCGTAGTTCTGTCATCAATACATGGATATATTTCATGCACATGGTGTTCAGTACCTAAATGTGACCCGGTATCGCCCTCCAGCAATCCTGATAAACCTCCCGCTGAAGTTCGCTGGGAACCGTCACTTCCTGGAGTGTCAATCTTATGGGGTCCACCTACAGCTCTCACTGGTTCCTCCTGCTGACCTCCACGTCATTATAGGAGACAGCGGTGACATGGAGATCAGCAGGTGGGACCTCTAAGAGCTGTGGGAGACCCTGGAGGATGATTTCCCAGCGGACTTTGGGGGACCAATTCTCTGTATTAGTGTTTAACGTCACAGGCAAGTATTCGACTTCTTCTTTCCAGGTATGTGCTTTGCTATTATGTGACAGGGCCTCTTTATTGGCCATTTTATTGGGTTCTTTCCTCAATTCTTTCAATAATATAATTGGACATTGCTGGTGCAGATCTCCTCACGCTGACTTACGCTCAACAATCAATGACCACAAGTCAGGTGGCGTGTTGGCTCCGTTATTGAGCGTTCACCTGATGCTGGCACACCTACAAAAGGCATATAACTGCCCTGACCAGTCAGAAGCGTCCATACCACGCCATGCTCAGCGGCCCGCATCAAAACCTCTGCTCCATGTCACGTGTACACAGATGAAGTGACACACACTTCAGCTATGACATGAAAATAAGCCAGAATAGGCAAACTCTGGGCTGGCTGGCTGTGGTGCAACTACAAATCCCATTAGGCACGGCAAAACTCTTGACAGCCACAGGCATGACACGAAGAGGCAGATATATGATGGGATTTGTAGTCTCACCTCAGCTGGAGGGCTGCAGTTTGCTTACTCCTGCTCTAAGCAGTGGTGAACCCCCCCAACCTCCTGATTGTGTCACGGATATGATTCTGATGGCCAAGGCACAGACATACTAGTGTGGCGCACTAATTCTGTCACTGGTGTACTTACTAGGGATTTCTCTGATTGGTTTCATCTCCCATAACAACATATAGTTCAGCCCCATACTTCTATGTATGGAGGAGCATGTGACAGCGCTGTCACATAGGGAAACAGAGATGGGGAGTAAAGGAAATGTCAGTGTGTTGTGCTGGGTATGGAGGGACTAAAGTGAACATTTGCGGCTAAACCCGCTCTGCCAAGATCTCCCCACTCCAGTTCCCTAACCAAACTCCTTCTGCTGACCAGGTTTTAAAGGCACAGGCTCCAGCACCTTCGCTTCACTCGTTAGGGAGTCACTGACCCAAAACAACATGGCGGTCAGGAGGTCACAGTGTCTTCATAGGGTGCCGACTTGTTCAGGTTCAGCAACTCACTCAGCAGTGAAAGAAGGATAACAGACCTCTGCACCTTCCAACACAAGTCAGCAACCGGAGCAAACCCATTCCTCTGCTATGTTCCCTTTAAGGCTCCATTCACACTGGAGCGGCTGTCCGCGCATATTCAGCTGTATAGATACACGCGGAGCCGCTCTCAACAGAGAAAAAAATGCCGTTCAATGTGCATGGTTCAGCCACTTGTGGGGGCCGCGCGGTATGAAAGCGTGCGATCCCCAAATTAGTAAAAGCGTCATAATCCGGCAGACTCTACATGTTTGCGGCTATTTAATAGCCGCAAACTAGCGGCACCCGTGCGGATGACAAAATTTTAGCGTTTTTGTCCTGCACCGGCTTCCACGCGGAAAACGCAAAAGGTATATGTGAATGGCGCCTGATAGGAAACCCAAAAGACAGAGTGAGATCACCTCGCCATGGCAGCTGGTGGGAACTCCAGTGCTGAGATCACGCGAGACCCAAGATGGTGGCTGATTCAAATATAACACTTCACCCGAAAGGGAAATATTCCTTAGGGCAGGGGCAGGCAAACTTCAGCCTTCTAGCTGTGGTGCAACTATAAATCCCCTCATGCATCTGCCTCTGGAAGTCATGCCGGTGGCAGGAAGAGTCTTGCAATGCCCAATAGGATTTTGAAGTTGGAACCCAGCTGGAGATCGGCATTTACCTAGAACGGAGATGGCTTACACTGGAAGTCCTCTGGGCACTCTATTAGGGAGAACATGGATAGAACATGGATAGAACATACCAGACCGTTCATATCTATTCTGTGTGAATCTGATCTCGTTCTGAGTTCTATACCTTTCAGACTGGAGATCACGTGCACACAAAGTATCACAGCTTGGCGTCTTGTGTGTATATTTGTGGCTCTTACTACTTTAAAGTAAATTTGTAGTGTTTAAAGCTTACCCAAATGATAAAAAAGGAACCTAAAGAAGAACCCTGGCAGCGGTAACCGTCATTATACAATGGAACTCCAGGCAGATATAAAAGATACAAACGATTGCAGGTCTGGAATAGAAAGACATTATTCCGTGTGTTTTTGGAAATACAAGCAGTGCAAGTGCCTGAGTTTGACTCGGTGTCAGCCTCTTGCAATCCATGTGCAGCACTTCAGACCGGGATAGGAAAAAGCAGCACAAGAAGCTAGTCAGCTGTGTTATAGTGTTCATGTCCTAGCTAGGGATATGCTAATGGGAGGGAGGAAAGAGCAGAGAGAGAGAGAAGCTCATCAGTCTCCTTTTATTCTCCTGTTCTGGCAAACAGGGCCGTGTTGTGTTCAGCTTTAAAGTGACACTAAACTCTGGAGTTAAATCTTAAAAAATGCATTCAAGGACCCCAACTATTAACAACTTGTAGAGTAGTCACCGCTCGAAGCTCACTCCTGTGATGGACTACAATCTCATCATGGGAGCAAGCCTGGAGTGACTACAATCTAAGTACAAATTAGCTAACTAAACATGAAATTGTAGTCCATCACATGAGTGATCTTGCAGCGGTGACTACTTTACAACACACACAGGGACCATGGGGAACCAAAGTAGTCACCCTCCAGAAGGAAGGACAGTGTCAGCACCAATTCAGAGATGATTTGAGGATCTACAGCCGAGTGATACACAAATAAGATACATTGTTGGTAATAGTTAAGGTACTTGAATGTATTTTTAAGATTTACCTCCTGAGTTTAGTGTCACCTTAACTTGACCACAATACATAACCCCAGTCTGTGACCCAATTATGTATTAAGAGCTATGGCACCATTCTGTAATACTTTGCTGTGGTATCAGTCAGCATTATATAAGGCCTCATTCACACAGTACAGATCCGCGCCGCATGCACACCCGTATCGGGCCATTCAATTGCACGCAGCATCCTTTTCTTCCCTATGGGAGTACGCTGTCATCCGCACACCCGAACTGCAGATCCGAGCGGGACGCAGACAGGATCCATTCGCATCCGAGTACAGACACCCACACGGAAGTGCAGTTCGGGTGTGTGTACAGCCGCGTCCTCCCATAGGGAAGAACAGGCTGCTGCACGCTATCACACGTACCTCCCGGGAATGGCCCGATACGGCCATGCAAGCCGCACGGATCTGTACAGCCCGACTATGCGGTGGGAATCAGGCCTTGTGGGCGGAACATACACGGCTGGCTTTCAGGTCTTGGACTACATAGAAGCTGCTGCTAATACACGGAAAAGAGGAGGCTCCTTATTTTAAACCAGAGTTCTTCTCTATGCTCCCTAAAGTACATTTTATTCAGGGATACATTTATTTCTTAATTTAAGGTATAAACAGGCACTTGAACTTTTCTTGTTTTTCTTCCATAATGGAAGTGTCATAAAACTTTATCGATGCAGCAGAACATAAACAGCGACACTAGTACTGCTGCAAACAGGTCCCATTAGATCTGCGCTTAGTGTTAGAAAGGTTTATTATGAGATAGAAGTCATAATTTTCCCATTTCGCTGACAGACCAGCAGCCGCGGCAGCATGTGTCAGACCTGACAGCGGAGGGACATTTAAATAACCCAACAAACCGCGATGTGGTCATCACTGAGCCGGCAGCCAATATTTTCCTCTAAGAGGATACGTACCATAGAATTATTTCCTGGAAATCCTGCCGTGCACATGACAGGAAGCATGAAGACAGAATTAGTTCTGAAATGCCATCGCAGCACAATGCTGTACAGGCATTGACCCTCATGGGGTTATAAGAGGACCATTCTTCTAATGAGAAGAGATAATAGCGGAACGGTGAGCAGAGAGGATTAGAAGGTGACATTCAGCCGATTCTTGCTCAGCTCTCTCTCCAGGTTTCCTAGCAGGGTGTCTATACTCTCCTGCAGGTCCTGGAGGTTAACGTCCGGCTCCTCACACACGCCTCCTGCACTTACGGCCGAGTCCACTGATACTTCTTTGGCTGTGGCGTGCTGAGTTAACTCTTCTGTCCGGACACAGGTGTCCAGGGGTTGAGGGATTTCCAACGGGACGTCCGCATAATCGCCTTCCTCTTTGGGGACCATTAAGTAACTTCCCTGGCAGCTGCTCCAGTCTCCTGCGTAGCGATTGCTGGAGGGGCTGTCCAGACGGGCCGCCCTTGGCCTTAGGACTCTACAGGCGTCCGAGCTGTTTAAATTAAGCATCTGTGGCCGTGACTTCTTCCTTCGCAGGCACGGCTGGGGCTCCGCTTGAACATTGTTTGGTGTGGGGTCTTTGGGAGATTCGCTTTTTACTGTAAGAGAACGCAAAACATACATTGTGTGTAATGCTTAAAACTGAATCAGAACAAAGTCTCACCATATACGCTAACTGAGCAGCTTAGAGGGCAAGTCCTCCCTAAACTGATTTTTTTTTTAGCTCTGGGTAGAGTCTGGTGGTCTGAATCATCTGCCATTTTCTTAAATCACTTGGATTATCCATCAGTGGAAGAGAACAGAGACTCCATGGTGAGTTGCATTGGATGGGGGTTGAAGTTTAAAGGCAAAGTATTGGGAGAGGAATATGTACTCTTCCCAATAGTTTGAGCTGATGTGTGACACTGCACCTGCCACATGCCGGTGTTCTATCAAAAACTCCGACTTGTCAAGCTCTCCAACTAGTGACGTCACATCCGGTGACTGCCAGTAGGAGATCTACGCCAGATGGAGCGAGTGCGCATGCCCATGGAATTGTTGCCGAATTCTCTAACTATTGCCACTGCGCGGCCATCGGCTCCCATGGATTCTATAACCTAGTACAACGTTATATTTGTCGTAGGTTATAGGAGGCGATAGCCGCGCAGGCGCAGTTGCAACTGTGGCAATTGGCTCATCGAATTCTATAACCAGGTACAAAGTTATATTTGTCCTACATTATATAAGAAGCCGATAGCTTCTTAGCAGTGCCGAGTGTGGTTATAGAATTCGATGTCGCTGCGCAGGCGCAGTGGCAACAGTTAGAGATTTCGAAAAAAAGGAGGGGGAAAATTAGAGCGCAAATCCTGGGAATGTGGGGGGTATAGGGACAACCAGTGTCTGTATGTGGCGGGTGGAAAAACAAAATTTAAAATTAATAAAATCACAAAAGGTGAAGGACTTACTTGTGAAGCCGAGGTCCTGTCATGGAGGGCCCTTTTGGAGTGTGGGCAGTGCGAGATGTACTCGGTGTCTCCCAGCAAGTGGAGGGATGGATGAAGGAGGAATCAATGTGGACTGAATGCTGTATGTGCCCGGGAACTGGTGAAAGAGCTGCCTATGGTCTTGATGGCAGTGTTCTTAGGACGTGACGGAGTGAAAGGGACCGAGGGCTGGGAGAGGACGTGCACGGAACAGTGGTAAAGGAGCGACGCGTTTCGAGGTGTTCCTCTTTTTCAAGCTTGAGTGAGAGGGTGAGCCCACACCAGTTCCCGGGCACATACAGCATTCAGTCCACATTGATTCCTCCTTCATCCATCCCTCCACTTGCTGGGAGACACCGAGTACATCTCGCACTGCCCACACTCCAAAAGGGCCCTCCATGACAGGACCTACCTCGGCTTCACAATTAAGTCCTTCACCTTTTGTGATTTTATTAATTTTAAATTTCGTTTTTCCACCCGCCACATACAGACACTGGTTGTCCCTATACCCCCCACATTCCCGGGATTTGCGCTCTAATTTTCCCCCTCCTTTTTCTCAGTCCACAGGTTTCTCCCCCTGTTCTTAGAGCAGCAATCCAGATCATTTGCACCCACACAGACCCCACATTCCTAAGAGAGCGCTGTGTTCTTTTTCTGTTAGAGATTTCGATAAGGATTCCATGGGCATGCGCACTAGCTCCATCTGGTGTAGCTCTCCTACTGGCAGTCACCAGATTTGACGTCACCAGTCGGAGAACCCGACAATTCTGACCTTTCGATAGAACACTGAGTGATCACAAACCACTGATCACTCGGCTTCTGTGGAAACGGTGACTGACAGGGGGGATTCCCCCCACCCCTCTCTCTGTTCCTCCAGGGCTTATTGGAGGGACAGACTTGGGAGGGTGCGGGCACAGTTGGCTCTGGCTCCATAGAGACAGAGAGAGCCAGCTGTCAATAAGGTAGTGGGGTGGATCCCGACAACAGTGTTGGGATCCTTCCCCGCTGCAGTGCTGTTAGCATATAGAGGACAGTAGCCCACAATATGCTGACTTTGGGTCACAGGAGTACATTAGTAAATGTACTCCTGTGACCCAAAAAGGGAACTAAAGCAACAAAAAAAGGTTTGGCTATAGTTCTCTTTTAAGAGCCAAGAACAGCAGCAGACACAAGTCAGCGCTGGAGTGCAAAATGGATAGAAACAGCCAGGCAGTGATTCATCCCACCAATACCCACCCAGAACTGAAATATCGGTTCATTCTTTGCAAAGCAAGCACAGTCATGCATGAAGACAAGGTTTCTTTTTCCCATATATGCAGAAATGAAACATTCTGAATGGTTATTACTTAGTGGCAACCAAAGTGCACCTGTTCTGCATCAATAAACACAATGCTGTTAAGTAGAATGCAATACTTCACTTTTACAACGATAGTTTCAGTAAACCTTAAAACTGTCGTGTTTGAGGGCCTGTTCACATGAGTTTCAGGTCCTGATCAGGTGCGGATCTGCAGACGCGGTGCTATGTGTTTTGCCGCGTTTTTGATGCGTTCCAGTAAAAAAAGAAACATTTTTTTTTTTTTTGCTGGAGTGGGGCTGTCAGTATGTTAGCTGCAGTGCAGTGCGCTTTCGATGCGTTTCCGGACCGTTTCCTGACCGTACAAAATGTGACCTGCAGTATTCTTTCTGTCGTAAACTGAACGGACTGCGCACGTGAGAACTGTAGCCCATAAAACACATAGGGATACATTGGGATGCATTTTTAGTGCAGGAGCGTACGGATCTGGTCAGCACAGAAAACGGACGTCGTGTGAACAGGCCCTGGGGCTTCTCTACTTACGTGAGCAAAGTAATGTAATTCAAAAGTAGTTTTCAGTCATTTAAAATCTGCAGCTTTCAATAAAGCGTCATTCCACTTCTGTTTAGAAAAACAAACAATCAATCCTCTGTGGGCGATCCGTGTACATTGCGAGGATTTTAGGAAGCTTTGTTGCCGTTTCCTACCTGTTTCTGTTCTGAAGAAATAAGCTGTTTGTTGCAGCGTGTCCTTTCCAAACCGATTCCTGAACGGAAGGGTCTGAGTTCATTAGAAGCGGCTGGTGGACTTTCTGTGTTGTAATGAGGAAAGGTGCAGTGCTTGCATCCCATTAGTATTAATTAACCCTTAGGGACGATCTCACCCAAAAATGAAATTCCTATTGCATGGGATGCCAAAAATTATACTTGTAGGTTGGGCTACCTCATGGCAAACCTGCACCCAATTCATCATTTGCTACATATGCTCCAAAATGGAGGCTCTCATAGATTAGTGTTAGGACCGCGCTACAGAGGGGCCTTGACGAGACAGTGTGGCTTCATATTTTTCAAACCTTGTGCAACTAAAACTCCAATAGGTATACAGTGGGGGGTTTTTTTTTTGCCGGCTGGCCGGGAAGTGTTTGCTCTTGTATTTTAGTGTAGACTTCAGGGAAAAATCAGTAAGCCAATCACAGAAGCAGGAAGTGACATTTCTGGGGGCATTCTGTACACCAACTGTGTACAGAGCACCTCCAGTTCGCCATATTCCATTGATTTTTCTTTTGACAGATTCAAAACATTACAGCAGCTAGTTTTAAATGGAAAACTAATTTTTAAGAACATTACAATTACAAATTGGCTTATGTGACGATTATATATGCTCATTTAAAAAAAAACAAAAAAAAAACCTGGTGATCCTGCCATGAAGGTCCTTGTTCACGCACTTCCTGTTATGGAGTGATAACATCCTCTCCCCAACCCCAACTGTTCTCCTATGTTGTGCAGTCATTTGAATATGATTTTGCAGCAGCTTTAGTATTTTCTTTGTACGGCACACGTCTCCTATAACTGGGTTTATCATACGCCATCGAAAATAACCCAAAACCTTTCAAGAAACAAATTTTGTTTTTTTTTCATTTCAGCAGCATATCATTTTCTCCAAGGCTACAGGTGCACTTTATATTTTTGCTCTTGTTTAGTTCATATTAATAGTGTTAACTGTAGAGCGTTAATGAACTTATATAGCTGGTATTTATTACACTACCGGGGGGCACAACACAAATGCATCTGAAACAAGCATATGCAGATTAAAGCTTCACACGTTAACCAAAAAAAAGCTCACACACGCTCTAACACATGTGGGACCTCTGCCTCCCATTTATATGTTTCTCCATATGCGTGTACTGGCAGGGAAGTTTTTGCGTCATCTGCAACATAGTGGGATAGAAGGTAGTAGGCTTAGGAGGAAGGGGACGGGAAAGACTCCAAAACATCAGCCAAGTGTCATCAAATGTTCCATCTCTGCTCCGCTAAGAGAAGTGTCATAGAACAGAAGCAGATTTGAATGAATGACCCCGACTATTCCATCCAGAGGCTACCAGTTGGCCTTCAAGTAGTTCTAAACTTAAAAAAGTAAATATTGTTTTATAGGGAACATTTAGAAATCTTAATTTTAACAAAAACGTTTGTCTGGAATTCCTCTTGAAAAATAGCAGTGCACGTCCTTGTACGTGAGGGTGCGTGGGGACCTCTGAGCCTATACCCCCCATAGCTGTATACCTGCAGTGTAAGATCTAAGGTACTGCTGCCTCTGACTGCTGGTCTCAGGAGCTTTGGTGACGTCACTACTGTGCTGCTCATGGTTCTCTTGTCTGGAGGATCCAACATGAGCAATCTAAACCCTGCCTTTACCAAGATGGCCACCACCAGGCACTATGCAGAACAAGGCATGGTAAGTCAGTAATAAGGGAAAGACAGGGAGACCATAGGCAATACAGGAGACTAGTCATTCGCCTTCTGTCTGCCTTATCTGGGCATAGCTTCCAGAGTTCAATTTCTCTTTAAAGTGAGTATCTAATGGCACTTTAGCTCTGCAGCCAACTACACTGCCCCATAATGATGTGCTGAATGAACTGCACTAGGCCTACCGCTGGACAGAAGCATTAGACAGAAGATCAAAAGCTGCAGTACACATGATGGATCCTTTAGTTACAAGGTTAGAAGACAAACAGAAAAAAAATGTAATCCATTGTTACAGGCAGCAAGAAAACTCTTTCCAACTGAGACCCGGATGAGGCATATTCCTTCACATCCTCATGGAGAGAAGCATCCGCTGCAGTTAGGTAGACATTGAGCAGAGCCAAATAAGAAAATAAGACATGCTCTGCCTGTAACGCCATGCACACTGCACACGGATATGCCACCGACCTCAGATTCCAGACCAGTTACCTGCGTCATGGCTGCAAAATTACCTCCGCTGTGTCATCTGCCTATGGCAAACAGCACACACTGCTTTATTCCCTCACATCCATGTATTTACTTTTTATGATCATACCTTGAATAATACATCTCTATACTTAGAGGAGCTGGACATTTTCTGTGAGGCATGTACAAAGCTAGAAGGACATATCTGTGGTCTCCTCAAAAACAGATGACATAGATTGATGCCTTCAGATACGGATTAGGCGACTAGACAGCTTCCAAAAAATATATCATATCATAGCAATTCTGTAAGCAAAGAGAACAAAAAAAGAACTGTGTTGGTGGTGAGGCCCAAGGCATACCTGGCCATAACTGCAGTAAGTAATGAAGAACTTCAATGTGTTTCTTAAAATCTAAGGCACTGGCAAGCTCTTCCGAGTCAATGAAGACACGATTATTGTGATTGGACGTTTCCTGTCTCTGACTCAGGAGGACCGGTCCGAAGCAGACGGCCAGGTTCTGGCAGGTCATCTTGTTCACTTCGTGATAAGAGGCAACCAGCTTCAAGTGATCCAGCAGCATCTTCAAGGTCGCCTGGAAGACAAAATACAATGATGAGAGCGGCCCTATGTATTTTTAAGGATATACTGTGAACGTACATGGCTAAGGAAAGCAATAGGATGCTTACAGAACCACAGCAAGTGACCAAAAGGTAACTAAATGGCAATGCTCCGTGTGCTTCCCCATTGGCTAATCGACCACCCATTATAAAGACAGGCCGGTTGTACTGTGTATGGGGTGGGAGAAGTTGGGAACTAAGTGGTGCGAGAGGAGCATTGTGTTGCCATTAATTTGAATGGCACCCCAAACACACCTCCCGCCCACAGTTCAATCGCCCGCACAGGAACACGCAATACCGTGCATTCCATTGCAGTGCGACTTGGGGCGCAACTTAATGACCAAGGACAAATGTGGGCCCAGAGGTTACACGGGTTGAGAACCACTGCTCTAGATGTTAGAACATTTTATAATTAGGTTTTCTATGCTTCCCAGTTGGAATGTTTGTATAGTGTTCAATACACTACGGTGATATAAACAAACACTCACTCTTTCCACATCGGGCAGCCAGTTCAGGAGCTCCACCGTGTGCTCAGAGTCCCGCAGGTCGTTCTCGCAGCCGTTCCCAGACATCTTGAGCGGTTTCTCGGTCATGGCATGTAGAACAGCTTCATACAGCTGCATTGTGATCAGCGGAGACGGGAGCTCTCTCAGGTAATCCTTTAATACACCTACAAAATAAAAGCGTCAAACTCCTGAATATCCGTAATAGATATAACTATGGGTGGATTCACTTGTAAGAATGCTACACACGTACACAGAACACCGATCGCTAAATTCTCCACTCAAAACTGACAGCCCGCTTAGATGCCAGCGGCAGATTCACTTACCAACATCTACACCACATAAACCAGGAGCTGTACTTTTGAGAATCTATGGCTCAAAAGAGCCAAAAAATAAACAATTTCTCCCTGAAAGACATTATTATCCACTCCGTAAATTAGACGGGCTCTAGCTGAGGTCATGTCAGGCCGTTCAAAGTACAAATCCTGCAAGCCAAAATTACAGTCTGCTGTTAGGCGGTATTTCATGAGAACAGTCTGTGAGGTCCCACAGAGAAAGGAACAAACCCAAAGCTTACCCAAGGAGGAGAGATAACAAATGAATATCGGAAATATCGGATTAAGTACTGGGTTGTGTAAAACCCACTTTATCCAGAACAGACATTTCAGTTTTCAGTGGGCACCGGTGACTTGGATCACAAAAACACACTTGTATTTCTTAGAGACCCCAACCATAAACTTATCTTGTAGTAGCGTGCGTCTCGCCTCTTCCCACAAGGCTGTAATGACATCACTTTCATGCTGTGACTTTACAATGAATGTATTCCACGCTATAGTCAGTCCAGTGTATGACATCGGCATAGCGGCAGAGTCAGTCACAGATGATATCTCACTACTGGAGCTTTACAGGGTTCTATTTTCTTTCATTCACAAAAAATAGAACAGATTTCCCCTTCAATGCTTAGGGGTGTTCATGGACGAATCCCCCGCTGTTTCCTCTGTTCATTCAGAATACCCGAACAGAGTTGGCGGCTCACTGGCTGCCGGCTGTGTTCGTTTGAAGATTTCCTATGGGGCTTCTTCGATCAGCTGATTGAGGAATCCCGGCCGAATGGGTGCAGACAGCGGCTCCCACTGTGCAAATTTCGACGAAATACATCTAGGGCCACCATTAGTTTACTTTGCAGCTCACTGTTCTCCTTGCTGGAGGCTCTGGCATAGAGAAGCCCTGCCTCTACCAAGATGGCATCCTCCACAAAGAGACACAGTACAGAACAAGACAAGGGAACAAGGGAAAATCAGCTGCAGGGAGACCACAGGCAACACTAGTGACTAGTTGTTATGTGGGGCAGGGTTTGGCACAGCTTTCAGTTTAATTCCTCTTTTACACATATCATTAAGATTATATACAATAAGCTGATCACTTTAAAGCGACACTAAATGCAGGTGTTAAATCCTAAATATACATTAAAATGCCTTAACTAATAACAATAATGTATCTTGTGTGTCACTCGGCTGTAGATCCTCAAATCATCTCTGAATCGGTGCTGACACTGTCCTTCTTCTGGAGGGGGGCTACTTTTGTTCCCCATGGTCCCCGTGTGTGTTGTAAAGTGCAGTAATACCTCGGTTCACAAACGCTTCTGTTCTTGCACAATTTGGTTAGTGAACAGGAAGTTCGGCAAAATTTTGCTTCCGTTCGCCAAACAGGGTGACGACCACGGCCATCTTCCCCGCTCCAACACCTCTAGTCGAGATCACGGTTGCAGACAGACCTGTGCACACTTGCCCACCTTATGGGGAAATCTGATTCGGTTTGCGACCAACTCAGTTCGCAACCAGATTTGTGGAACGAATTAAGTTTGTGAACCGAGGTACCATTGTAGTCACCGCTCCATGCTCCCACCTGTGATGGACTACAATCTCCATACAAATGAGTACACTAAACATGAGATTGTAATTCATCAAGGGAGCGAGCTTGGAGCGGTGACTACTTTACAACACACAACCCCAGGGACCATGGGGAACAGAAGTAGCCACCCTCCAGTAGGAAGGACAGTGTCAGCATCAATTCAGAGATGATTGGAGGACATGCAGCCGAGTGATACACTAATAAGGTACAATATTGTTAATAGTTGGGGTACTTGAATGCATATTTAGGATTTAACATCTGCATTTACTGTCACTTTAACATGTACAATTAAGAAAACAACGTCTAAAGTTCCCATTAAATCCCATGGGTAGCTGAGCGAGAACATAATATGTAGTAACCTGAGAAGCCAAAACGAAGGGTAGAATCCATAGGTCAGTTTTGTTTTGAAAGCGGAATTCCTCGATCGACCGCAATATGTTGCCACTGTCACGCAAATGGCTCACAACTCCCCGGAGTATTTTACACAAGTATGTGATGGCGAAAAAGTCTTCCACATGTCATGTTGTGACACGAGTAAAGAACTCAAGACAACACCGAGGCCGTGCTTGACCTCCCCATGCAGTCTGCGCTGGTATTATCCTAGCGATTGTCTGCTGCGCTGAAACATGCATCAGCCGGGGAACCTCGGCTCCCTTGTCTCCTGTGATGACGGATTGCTCTGCATCAGACTGTTCGGGGCCCCGCTAACCTCTCCAAATAAGGAATCAGATCTTCAGCCGCTACTGCAACCTAACCATGGGAGAAGGAGGGGAGCAATGCTGGATGTAAGGAGCTGGATTCATTTAAAAGGCATGTTTCACATTTCTTACTCTTTAGGCTTCAAACAGGAAGATTTACTAGGCAAAAATATGTGAACATTCCGCACACACATCGTTTCCAAAAAGAAAGAAAAGAAAACATACAAATCACAAAATAGTACAAAACACAACTGACCACAACGAGGGCCACGTTATAAACAAATAATAATAATAATATTATACACTATATTGCCAAAAGTATTGGGGCACCCCTCCAAATCTATGGATTCAGGTGTTCCAATCACCTCCATGGCCACAAAAATCGAGCACCTCGGCATGCAGATGCTTCTACAAACATTTGCGTGCACCAGTGCACACAGCAAGGTCCATAAAGACATGGATAGGCGAGTTTGGGGTGGAGGAACTTGACTGGTCTGCACAGAGTCCTGACCTCAACCCGATAGAACACCTTTGGGATGAATTAGAGCGGAGACTGCGAGCCTGGCCTTCTCCTCCAACATCAGTACCTGAACCCACAAATGGTCCAACATTCCCATAGACACACTCCTAAACCGTGTAGACGCCTTCCCAGAAGAGTTGAAGATGTTGTAGCGGCAAAGGGTGGGCTAACTCAATATTGAACCCTACGGACCAAGACTGGGATACCATTAAAGTTCATGTGCGTGTAAAGGCAGGTTTCCCAATACTTTTGGCAATATAGTGTGTGTGTGTGTGTGTGTGTGTGTGTGTGTGTTTGTGTGATAGTGTGTGTGTGTGTGTGTGTGTGTGTGTGTGTGTGTGTGTGTGTGTGTATGTGTGTGTATGTGCGTGTATGTGTGTGTATGTGTGTGTATGTGTGTGTGCATATATACACACTGTAGGGTACTCCGAGACTCCCAGAAGATGGTGACACACAGGGCAGGTTCATGTCTAAAATCAGATACTTGGTAAACATTTATAGACAACAGCAGGCACCTTGTAAAGCTTTATAGCCCCAGAGTGGACACTCGGTAAATCTTAATAGGCCAGTGTGGTAACTGGGAGCATAGAACGGGGCTTTTACACACATTCATTACCATGTCCAAAACATTTGTAAAGATCTAATTACTGACCGCACCATAAGGTGCAACAAAGAGATTCGACAATCAAATGTATTCAAAAGAAAGCTGTCCATGTGGTCCTCAGGACCCTATCATTCCATACATTTGCAGCCAGCTTCTACAATGGGGGGGGGGACAGGAGACCGACTCATAAAAACATTACACACTTGTAACTATTTTATTATCAGCTCCTCCTAAACCTACACGTTTGGTGTAAATGGGCCTTTAACTATTCAGTAATACGGACATTGGTTGATGGGATTGGGGTTAAAATCACTTGGCGGATTGCTTCGCAAATGTGCAGCAGATTGTGCCTCAAGTCCAGAAGGACCTCGCGGCACTCTTTTGGCTGGAATCTTCCTTGTTATATATTCATTGTACACTATGAAGGCTTTACAGTGCAAAGGTGACACCTTCGCTTGGCTTTGTAATGGGCACAGCTGTTGGACTGTACTGGGAGTTGTGGTGACTACGGCCTACCAGTTGGAGATGAAAGGGATAGCACACCATATGGGATACGTCTCTGACTGTCCTGCACATTTGCCGTGTTATGTTTCTTTTAAAACATTGCAAGTATAGAAATATATGTGCCAATTGTGCCAGAACTCCAATGAGCTCCTAACGTCATGTATCAAGCTGACAACACGGCCTCTACTGCACTAAAATACCCAGCAGAGGTGTCAATACTGCATGAGTTCTACCCTGCTGGATTACAGAACACCTCGCCAACTCCAACTCCACTAGATAAGGGGAAGATGTTCTGTAGTCCAGCTGTTATTCTCTAAATATAATTTTTTCGCTTGAAAATTCCCTTTAAAACTAGATTTAAACCGTAACCGGATGACATTTATTTTACTACACAAGTGTTCATTATAAATAACTGACATTTATAAATACTATTTTCATTTAATTTAAATCTGAGTGCTGCTCGTCTCCTCCAGCCACTTTCTACATGTACTCGCTCCAGCGCGGCTTCAGATCATTGCTTTGGACCAGCTTCCCGCTAGTGACAACGCAATGTGTATAGGCACAGCTATTTTGAGTCTTCATCAGTGGCTCATGTGATAGGGTGACAACATAACAGTACAGCTCAGATAATGTTGTCACCTCATAATAGAAAATGCCTATACAAAGACCTGCATGGCAAGGTATTCTTTAAAGAAAATCTCCGGGAATTGCTTTATTTATTTAGTGCTTGTTTGTGTCTAGGTTCTAAAAAAAAAAAAAAAAAAAAAAAAAAAAACACCACCACAGCCCCCCCC